TCCAGCACCACAGCTCAAAGGCATCAATTCTCCTTCTATCCTTCTTAGTCACTGTCCAACTCTCTGATGCATAACAAGTGATTGCAAAGACCATGACCTGTATCAGATGCACCAGAGAGACACCATTACTCTCCAGTACTTTGGAGAGGTCTCTAACAGCAGACTTTCCCATGGCAATACGTCTTTTAATTTCCTGGCTACTGGTGCTGAAAGTGTTGACTGTGGAACCAAATTATATTAATGACATTGTTTTATAATGTCCACATTCTGCTGGATCACCTTTCTTGAGAATAAAAAATATAGATCTCTTCCAGTCAGTTTGCCAAATAAACTGTCATCCAAATTTTCTTTTGCAGATTAGTCAGCATGTTTAGGGCTGCATATGCTAGTTGAAACATGTCAATTGGTATCTGATAGATACAGCCGTGAAAAGAACTAGTATCTATTAGATGGTCTGATTATTCAGTGCAGAGAATAGGCTAATCTACCCCCTGCCCCTCCCCACTTGGGGTCTTTTCTCATCCCTACATCATTATTTGTGGAGAAAAGGAGCACCTGCTATTCTTTCAAAATGCCTTTGCTTCATGATCATATATTGGGACATTGATCACTCACCCTTTATGTAAAATATACCATTGTTGAGTCTTGTCTTGCACCATCCTTAAAATTGTTGTTGTTAAACCTCATTTTGCATCCCCTGCATTAATTCATTACATTGAAGATCTTTCTATTTTTTTTATGACACTCTACTTAGCCAAACATGATGTTCTTCTCCAGCAAATAGTCTCTCCCTTCTGATAAGTTATCAAAGTAGGTATGACTAAGTCTTGCTATCTTGCCTTGCAAGGAACATTCTAATCTATCATGTTGAGGATCTTCCTCTATTTTGCTAACTCTCAACTTCAGCAATAAAATTATCACAAGGAGTTGGTTCATTCTGATAACTTTGGTCATCCAAGTAGATGTGACCAAAGATTGTTATCTTGCCTTGTTAAGAGCATTCTGGTTGTACTTTCGATGGTTAAGTGTATATTTGCTAACCAAAGTGTCAGTTATTTGAATCCACTCAATGCTTTGCAAGGGAAAAAAAGTGACAGGGTGCTTCTATAACAATTTAAAACCTTAGAAACCCTATGGAACATTTTATACTCTGTCCTAAAGGGTAACTATGAATTGAAAAAGAATTGACAGTAATGAATTTTTTTGTAAACTACGGAAAGTAGCAAATTGCTTTTTTTGGATGCTCTCAATACTGAAAAGATTTGCAGAGACTCAGCGTGCTCCTATTTTTAAACTTTTCAGGAACTTGTGCTTGTGTTTCACATATCTCCGAAGGCTTATGGTACCATGATATTCAGTGCTCTTTCATTTGATGTCTTTCCTTCTGTGCACTGCAGCAGATGCTTTCTGTACTCAGTATATGAAAATTAAAAGATTAGAGAAGATGATGATTTACTCTAATGCATTGTTTATATTTACAAATTGTTTGGTTTTTCTATCTAACAACATCTATGTTGATTTTAATATATTCTATGTGCTTATTTACTGAATTGCTTCTGTAATAATATCCAAGATACCTCAAGAATGAAAATATTGGAGCCAGGAAATATTTGGTGGGGAAAAATAATTGGAGTGTTTACTACAAGTATAAATGTACTAGGAATGGGTGGGGTGAGGGGGAAGAAAAGGAAGAAAAAAATTACTAGCAATGATGTGCATTCTGTAATCTATTTTCATTGGTGTTTAGACTTTGGATATTTAAGTTAGGGTTTTTAGAGATACTAGGGAAAGAGATATATTCCACCGTATAGAACCT